GGCAACGCCGCCCCTCCGCTTTGCTTACCCTTTTCAGACTTGGAAGGGGCATTTGGCGAGGCAGAAGAGACACAGTACCAGCCTGCTGCTACAAATTCTGCCGTCGCCTGCCAATGAGTCTCCTGAAGCACCAGGATGTCACAGGTGCGATGGGCTTCAGTGGCAAGCCAGGTCTTGATCTCCGACCACTGCTGCTGGCCTGACCTGCATTCCAGGACAGGATACGCATCGCCTTGGCTGCTGTTCCTGCGCGGGATCGCTGTGCAAAAGTCGGCTTAGCTGTCGGCGGTGGCGGGTGATTGCCCATTCGCCTGAGGATTTGACCTCTGTACGAGACGGGCCGTCGGTTTTCGGCAGCCTGATTGCAAGCATGTTTGAAGGACTTCTTTCTGATCTGAGAATAATTCTGTGAGTGCACTGGTAGCAGCGCCATCCGCTATTTCGTCACGAAGCAAGCTAAGTGACTCCTTCCACCTCGCGGTAAGTGGAAACCCTACCGCCTGCCCAGTAGGTCTGTTGCACTAACAGGAACTGAGTCCAGGAATTGGGACCTGGCAGCTCAGACGTGTCTCATGATGCACGGCGGCACATGGCTCAAGAAGTGGGACAAATCCGTAGTCGTTGGGAAAAGGAGCCTGGTCAGGACCTCTAGCAACGAAGGTTGGCGCCCAAAGCCTGTTCGAAAGCCACCGCTAACGGTCAAAACGTCTGAGCCGTGGCGGCTACAAACAACAACAACAACAAGAACAACAACAACAACAACAACAACAACAACAACAACAACAACAACAACAACAACAACAACACCAATACTACTACTACTACTACTACTACTACTACTACTACTACTACTACTACCACTACTATTGCTACGACTGCTACTACCACTACTACTGCTACTGCTACTAGGGGCGGGGGCGCCTACTAGCCAACCCCCCTACCAACCACCTGGCGCCTAAACCCATCAGTTGTTGGTATTGGGCTACACCATCACGAAACTACTGTAAATACCGAATAAAATGGATGTCCTCTTCAAGAGTATGTCATCATGCCCCTCCTCCCCCCGACTATTTAGGGCCTGGGGTTTGGAGTTAACTTAAAATGACCCCACTGCCACCGCGAAGCGCGGCGCGATCTGTGTCAGCACCTATTTGCGCAGGATTGGCCGGAGGAGCAAGATTGTGGACGTAAACGATCGGCTGCACCACCGGCGGAGGCGGAGTAAAAGGCTTAGGGTTTAGGGTTTAGGACCGGCCTGAAATGGAGAAGCCCGGTGCTTGGGCTCAAAAGGGCTGACCTTGGGCGTTACCTTTGGCGGAGATGCGGCCGCCGGCGGCCGGCGGCTTGGTGAAAGGACATGGGAGACAGGTCCTATGACCTCTGCGTCATGTTAAGCGGCTGGCAAGCCAGAAGCCCTTCATGGTGCGATCCTTCTGCGAAGGTGAATTTCGCAGCTGCCTAAAATTTCCAATCGAATCAGAAAGCTTAAACCTCAATAACCCTCACAGGACTTCTGCTTGCCCTAAACCCTAAACCTAAACCCTTTTCCAGACAGGCTCTGTTTAATCAACCCCGGAAAGTCAAGAACCTCGGCATGTAGGGAGTAAACCCCCGACGCTACACAAGAAACCTAAACCTCTCTACCTAGAATACTTTAAACCCTAAAGGCTTCGTGGGATTCTGATCATAACTCGTGGGATTCTGATCATAACTCGTGAGATTCTGATCATAACTCGTGGGATCTGATCATAACTCGTGGGATTCTGATCATAACTCGTGGGACTTGATCATAACTCGTGGGATTCTGATCATAACTCGTGAGATTCTGATCACAACTCGTGGGATTCTGATCATAACTCGTGGGATTCTGATCATAACTTGTCGGATTCTGATCATAACTCGTGGGATTCTGATCATAACTCGTGGGATTCTGATCATAACTCGTGGGACTTGATCATAACTCGTGGGATTCTGATCATAACTCGTGAGATTCTGATCATAACTCGTGGGATTCTGATCATAACTCGTGGGATTCTGATCATAACTTGTGAGATTCTGATCATAACTCGTGGGATTCTGATCATAACTCGTGGGATTCTGATCATAACTCGTGGGAATTTGATCATAACTCGTGGGATTTGATCATAACTCGTGGGATTCTGATCATAACTCGTGGGATTCTGATTTTCATCAGTGTTCCCATCAGGGTTTACGATTTAGGGGCCAGCGTTTACGATTTAGGGACCAGGGTTTACGATTTAGGGACCAGCGTTTACGATTTAGGAACCAGGGTTTGCGATTTAGGGGCCAGGGTTTACGATTTAGGACCAGGGTTTACGATTTAGGGACCAGGGTTTACGATTTAGCGACCAGTGTTTACGATTTAGGCACCAGCGTTTCGATTTAGGGATCAGGGTTTACGATCCAGGGGCCAGTGTTTACGATTTAGGACCAGGGTTTACGATTTAGGACCAGGGTTTACGATCTAGGGCCCTACGGTTTAGGGACAAGGGTTTAGGGCCCCAGGGTTTAGGGAAAGGCCCGATGTTTACGGTTTAAGCCTTATGTTTAGAGTTTAGGCCCCAAAAAAACTTGCAATTTTGATGTTGAAGGAGGACAAGGGTTTACAAAAATCCTTGCAGCTTTGATGTTGAAGAAGGACACAGGTTTACAAAAAACCTTGCAATTTTGATGTTGAAGAAGGACACAGGTTTACAAAAAACCTTGCAATTTTGATGTTGAAGGAGGAGGACAAGGGTTTACAAAAAACCTTGCAATTTTGATGTGAAGAAGGACAAGGGTTCACAAAAAACCTGGCAATTTTGCTGGTGAAGAAGGGCACAGGTTTACAAAAAACCTTGCAATTTTGATGTTGAAGAAGGACAAGGGTTTACAAAAACACTTGCAATTTTGATGTTGAAAAAGGACAAGGGTTTACAAAAAACCTTGCAATTTTGATGTTGAAGAAGGACACAGGTTTACAAAAAACCTTGCCATTTTGATGTTGAAGAAGGACAAGGGTTTACAAAACACTTGAAGAAGGACAAGGGTTTACAAAAAACCTTGCAATTTTGATGTTGAAGGAGGAGGACAAGGGTTTACAAAAAACCTTGCAATTTTGATGTTGGAGGAGGAGGACAAGGGTTTACAAAAAACCTTGCAGTTCTGATGTTGAAGAAGGGCAAGGGTTTACAAAAAACCTTGCAATTTTGATGGTGAAGAAGGACACAAGTTTACAAAAAACCTTGCAATTTTGCTGTTGAAGGAGGGCAAGGGTTAACAACAGACCTTACAATTCTGATGTTGAAGAAGGAAAAGGGTTTACAAAAAAACTTGCAAGTTTGATGTTGGAGAAGGGCAAGGGTTTACAAAAAACCTTGCAATTTTGATGTTGAAGAAGGACAAGGGTGTACAAAAAACCTTGCAATTTTGATGTTGAAGGAGGAGGACAAGGGTTTACAAAAAACCTTGCAGTTTTGATGTTGAAAAAGGACAAGGGTTTACAAAACACATGCAATTTTGATGGTGAAGAAGGACAAGGGTTTACAAAAAACCTTGCAGTTTTGATGCAGACAAGGGTTTACAAAAAACCTTGCAAACTTGATGTTGAAGATGGGCAAGGGTTTACAAAAACCTTGCAATTTTGATGTCGAAGAAAGACAAGGGTTTACAACAAACATTGCAATTTTGATGTTGAAGAAGGACAAGGGTTTACAAAAACCTTGCAAGTTTGATGTTGAAGAAGGACAGAGTTTACAAAAACCTTGCAACTTTGATGTTGAAGAAGGACAAGGGTTTACAAAAAACCTTGCAGTTTTGATGTTGAAGAAGGGCACAGGTTTACAAAGCAACCTTGCGATGTTGATGTTGAAGAAGGGCACAGGTTTACAAAAAACCTTGCAATTTTGATGTAGAAGGAGGACAAGGGTTTACAAAAAACCTTGAAGAAGGACAAGGGTTTACAAAAACACTTGCACTTTTGATGGTGAAGAAGGACAAGGGTTTACAAAAAACCTTGCAAATTTCATGTTGAAGGAAGACAAGGATTGACAAAACAACTTGCAGTTCTGATGTTGAAGGAGGACAAGGGTTGACAAAAAAACCTTGCAATTTTGATGTTGAAGAAGGACAAGGGTCTACAAAAAAACCTTGCAATCTTGATGTTGAAGAAGGACAAGGGTTTACAAAAAACCTTGCAATTTGGATGTTGAAGAGGGGCAAGGGTTTACAAAAACCTTGCAATTTTGATGTTGAAGAAGGACAAGGGCTTACAAAAAACCTTGCAGGTTTGATGTTGAAGAAGGACACAGGTTTACAAAAAAAACTCGCAATTTTGATGTTGAAGAAGGACAATGACAAGGGTTTACAAAAAACCTTGCAATTTTGATGTTGCAGGAGGACAAGGGTTTACAAAAAACCTTGCAGTTTTGATGTTGAAAAAGGACAAGGGTTTACAAAACACATGCAATTTTGATGGTGAAGAAGGACAAGGGTTTACGAAAACCTTGCAATTTTGATGTTGAAGAAGGACACCTACAAACTTTGCTGTTTGATTGTTTGTTGTTACTTGTATTTAGTTCAGCTCTTCAATTGTCAAAGTGAAATTTGTGTTTTCTTAATGTGGGGGGAACCTTTGGGCGGGTGGGGTGTTGTCTTGAAAGTAACTTGACTAGGAATTTCCAAGGTCAGAGCTGCTGATCCCTAAACCCTAAACCCTAAACCCTACACCCTAAACTCCAAACCTTCAACCCTGAACATTAAAATCGAAAGCTTCCGAACAGGAGGCCTCGATCCTCAATCCTAAAGGTTCTCCAGCAGCACTTTAAAATGACAGGGGTACCCCTTTCTCCTACTCTTTGGCTTTACGAAGGAAGGGTAGAAGGGCATTACTGGGGAATCTACTACACCCTAAGCTTCCCTAAACCCTAAACCCCAAACCCCTAAAAATAGACGGAATGGAGCCTTAAGGGAACCCTGAACCCTAAACCCTAAACGGTGGCCTGAATGGAGGTCTCCGTCTCTACCTCAGCCGCTTCGACCGCCTTCGCCCGAAGACAAGACACGGGTTTGGGGCTTAGGGTTTAAGGTTTAGGGTTTAGGGTTTGGGGTTTAGGGTTTAGAGTGAAGTGACGGTTTGCGTCCCTTTGAGGGTTTCTTTAAGGCTTCGGGTTTAGGGTTTGCCTGTGTTTTTGGGGAAACGCTCTTTGTCGGGGGTCTGGTAAGCCCTTGAGAGAATTCAGATGAGCTCTAAACCCTAAACCGTTTGAGTTGAGTTAGGGTTTAGGGATTTAAGTTGGGTACTGCCCCCACTCAGTAACAGTTGGCTAATACTCAGAACAGGGATATACAAGGACCTTAAAATCATCTCTATTACAGACTGTTACTGTACGGGGGCAGTGCCCAAGCTTTAAGGTAGGTCACCGCTGGAGGCTGCACCGTGCAAGACTCGTATATACATATATACGCATGCATATGTGCTTATGCATTAATTGATCTATCTATGTTGCTTTGCTTGCTTATATTGTATTAATTGCTTATTCTTGTTACTGGCATGCTAACCTACGTTTGTACATACATGAACAAACATGCCTACGTGTGTCAGTGTGAGTATGTGTATAGTTATATATGTATGCATGTATACATACATACATACCTACCTACCTACGTACATACATACACACGTACATACATACGTACATACATACATACATACGTACGTACATACATACATGCATACATGCACGCATGCACGCATACACACATACACGCACATACGCATACTACATACAGGATCATACAGGAATATACACACACTTGCATGCACAGACATATACGTCTGCACCTGCAAGCGCACACACACACAAACAGAGAGAGACAGGAGTACATACGTAGTGTGTTTCTACACAGACATGGACAAAGAGAAAACATGGACATGGGGATAGATATGGACACCCATCCATCCATGCAGGCATTCAGACAGTTTCAATGTACGTACAGACACGTGCTCCATTCACCATAAACCTTAAACCCTAAACCCTACAGGTTGCGTGTACCCCCACCCACCCCCAGCCCCAGCCCCCTCCCCTCAACAGCGGTGGTTGGTATTGGACTACGGCATCAAGAAAGTACTGTAAATACCAAATGAAATAGATGTGCTCTTAAAAAGTGGTGAGGCGAGGTGGTTGGTAGGGGGGGCGCCTCCTACTACTACTACTACTACTACCACTACCACTACCACTGCCACTACCACCACGACTACTACTACCACTGTCACTACCACTACCACTACCACTACTACTACTACTACTACTACCACTACCACTACCACTACCACTGCCACTACCACTGCCACTACCACCACCACTACTACTACCACTGTCACTACCACTACCACTACCACTACTACTACTACTACTACTACTACTACTACTACTAGCACTACTACTAGTACTACTACTAGTACTACTACTAGTACTACTAGTACTACTACTACTACTACTACTACTACTACTACTACGACGGCGACTGCTACTCCTACTCCTCCTAGTCCTACTCCCACTGCTATTCCTACTCCTACTCCCACTCCTACTCCTACTCCTACTACTACTACTGCTGCTGCCGCTACTCCTACAGCTAGTACTACTAGGCACCGGGCTCGTAGGGCACCCCGTGCCAGGAGCAAAGTCGTGGAAATATAGCAGTGCACGAAGTAGTGTAAACCACGATGCTTTGGTGGTTTCTTAGTTTCATTCAGGGTCCAGGGGAATCGGGGCACAAGACATGTAGTTTCAATGCAATTGAACTATTTCGGAACCTACCTCTGATGGTGCGGGTATTTCGTCGGAACTCGGCATGCCCGTGATGGGTGGGGAAGGACGGATGGTGGCGGAGGTAAGGCGTGTGCGTGACATAAAATGCACCACGGCGTCAGCATGGTTTACTAACCTGCAAAGACGTGGAAGACGCTACCAGGGAAAACGGAAAGCTGAACGGAAGAGAAAAGTACACAGGAACCCCGTATGGAAGCACGAACGGAACCGAAAAGGCAAGTGGAAAGCGACACGGAAGCGAAAACAGAAGACCCTGGAGAAGCGGAAGACAGAACGGAAACAGAAGCGGAAGACGAAGAACAGCTTGTGCCCGAAATGACACTCACAGGGCTTGGGGTTAATCACCTGGCACCCAACCTCGCAACCTGCGGCCTAAACCTAACGATGCACAGCTTCATGTAAAGGCCAAGGCAATTGCCAATATTTGTTGGAGGGTTCCTGACTATAAAGAAAATGTATTATGCCCCCAAAACCAATCTTCTAGTTCTTGCAAAGGCCACTACATTAGGCTGCAAAAATCCCTGCCAGTGCAACCGCGGCGCTTTTCCAAACCCGGAAGCCAAAACCGCAGAGAGCCGTCAGTCTGAATGAAAGTCACAGAAAGTCCTGTACCCTACAAGTCTACGGCTCTAACGCCCTAAGCATCCCTAAGCCGAAGATCCCTGAACCTGAAAGCTTTGGGATTCCCTCCTGCTTTAGAGCTCCGTATCTTAATTCGACCACTGTAACCCCTTTCAACTTGGTCTTTGCAAATGCCACGAAAATGCTCTAGCTTGTCTGCTCGGTCTTGCAGCACTTCTATAATGTGGTGGGGCCATGATGAAGTTGAAGCCCAAGCCCCTGAAATCCGCAGGTCCTTCCGCAACCAACTGAAATCTTTACAACCACTAGCCTGTAAACGCACACCCTATCCTACTCCGCATGGAAACCCGCTAACACTGAACCCAAGTGCTTGTTTCTCAACCCGAAGCCCTAAATCTCAGAAGCCGTGAGCATCCCTAAAGACTCTGAAACACCAAAAGCTGTTTCTGAGCCTTTCACACCCGATAAGTCCTAGACCCACAAAATCCGAAAGCCATGCAGCCCGAAAGCTACACCCCTATGGAGTCCAAACGCACTGAGTCTCAATCCAACACAACCCCCCAAAATCCAAAACCCAAAGCGCTCACGCCGGGACACGAAACCCCACACAATCGGAACACTATCGAATGCTGGAGCTGCACAGACCACTTCGGAACCCTACCAAAAAAGGGACCTGCACCTGGGGTGCAGCGGCTTGTGCTGCTGCGCACCTCACGCTACCAAAACGGCCAACGCCACATCCCGAGTTCCTCCTTCAAGTCACCAGTCCCCAAATCTCAAGCCCCAAAGTCCGCAGCAATGCGCAGTCATGCCCTGCCGCATGTGTCAAGAGATATTGCTAGATATTAAGAGATACGAGGCAACCTTACCAGAAACCTCGGGGCTAACCAAACTCACGACAACCGATGCCATGCACGACAACCAGATAACTTCACATCGATGTCATCACATCACGCCGTGCGCACAACATCGTCTCATCACGCCATCGAAAAACACGGAAATCTAAGCAGCGAGCGCGGCAATGACGCGGCGGTGGATTTCCGCAGTGCGCCTCAGATAAAAGTAGTAACACATTCTTCCTCATCTATGCATAGCACCAAGCCTTCCTAAAACAAGCCAACAGGTGCTGTCGCATCATGTACGTCTCATGTGTCCATGTTTTTTTTTTTAGACGGCCCTTTTCTCCCCTCGCTGCTGGTCAGAAAGAAAGCAGATTCCCGCTGGGCGCACATGTTTAGTGGTCCAGGATGGGTAGCGACATCCACTGCCATCGCCGACCAGGTCTAGGGCAAGCCCGAGGCCCCGACATTGGTTGCGTAGGTTGCGATCAAAGACCTAGGTAGTTGGAGGCACTTGCATCTTTGTCTTGGTTGCATCGATCCTGAGCCTGTAGGATTCCATCCTTCGATCAGGATTGAGACAGAGTCGAGGGTTCGGGGATGTGTGGGAGTGTAGTCTTGGCCCAGACATCAGGCTAAATCCGAAACCTGCGCAGCCTGAGCGAGAACCCAAGAGAGCTTGCGCGGGAACCGCTTCCTTGGAACGGTCCTTGCTGAGCTCCGGGCGCGTGCGCTGGAGAGCACGAAGCTCCCGTCGTTCGAGGCGACACGGCCGCGGTGCAATGTGGAGTGGTACATGTGTTGAACCCGCCGCAGAACAGTGCTCCAGTACTCCATACCCCGAAATTTAAGATGTGCCTTCACGCTACAAACACTTACCTGTCGAACTGTGTAAGATTCAGGAGCACTAGTATGGTACATACATTCGGCATGCGCAAACGACTTCGCTGAGAACCCTCGGGATGGCAACAGTGCAGAGATGTTTTTGGCGTGTCCCGAGAGGGATGGTCTGATGTGAGTTGCTGGCTCTTCCGCCGACCAGGCGGTCGGGCCGCGGTGGCCAAATCCATGCTCGCTGGCACCTGCAAACACCGGAAAGAGTTGGAGGGAATGCGCACTACTCGTGTCAGCTGTACAAGTTGCACCTGAACCGGGAATGCAGGCAGTGTCGCTATGCCACGCCGCACCGGCACGTCGAGTGGGAGGTTGCTGACACGGGCAAGCTGGCCCAAGCCCTCGGAGGATCTCGGAGACGAATGCAGAAGGGTTGGCAAAGAACCGAAGCGAAACTTGCTCAATGTCATGTAGGGCTGAGCTGACACACAGCGACTAGGCAAATCAGGCCTCTGCATTGCCAATGTTTGCCGCTACTTTGAATTCCACACCAGCCATAGTTTGCACAAGCACACGTAGTTTTGCTTGGACGACTTTTGGGCCAGGCTTTTTTCCACGAGGTGGTGGCGCTGAAGGCGAAAACTGCCCCAGCAAGTGCAATGCAGGAAGAGGAGGAGGAAGGAGGAAGGAGGAAGGAGGAAGGAGGGAGGAAGGAGGAAGGAGGAAGGAGGAAGAGTGGTGAGTAGCACGCCGCCGTCGTCGTCGTCGTCGTAGTGGTAGTGGTAGTGGTAGTGGTAGACAAAGTCCGAGACATTGATGCCTTGCGTGCATACATACATAAATACATACAGAATTACGTAATGCAGGCAGACCTGCAGAAAGACATACAGACACACAGAAAGACATACAGACATGCATACATAACGAGTCCACCTCCAAACCCCTCATGTGCCAAGCTCGAGGCAAAGCCATGTAGTAGAGGAGCAACGTGAAGAGAATCCTAAAACACGAAGTTGCCGAATTTTGCAGAGACAAGCATCACAACAGCGACAGCTCACCAGACCTAACCCAGCATGATTCCGAGATCGTCCTGTAGATGCCTTGGCGTGGAGTATCAGACCAGGCCCTGTTGTATCCTGGCAAACCCCGCACTCTGCAATGCACCCCTCACACGAGAAACCACATTATGCTGCGAGACTGCGAGATACGATACAAGTATGAGGAGTGAAGATGATGTACATTCTGTGCCCTGCAGCTTCGGTACGGCTAAGTTTTGCACAGCCTAGCTTCTGCACAAGGCCTTGTCGACCAAGCAGCAGGTTCTTCGCTTCTTGGCCAAGTCGTGGCGGCGTAGCGCTCCTGGGAAGTCATTTCAGGGAGCTTCTCAGGCTGGGGGACGGGGTGACAGGGCTTTGCTGCGATCCAGGGCTCGTAGCAGCCAACCTCCACCTCGTTGGGACGCAACTGAGGAGATCAAAGGAGCAGGGCGGGCCCTGCAGTTCTGCAGCCGTGAAACAGACCGGACATCGGACTTCATGTCTGCGGCATCCCAGCAATCAACCTGTGGCGACGGGCAATGTGAAGATGAGCGATACACGCAGGCTGGGCCGAGCCTCGTTCGTTTTTGCGGGCTCGCCTTCCTCCTCGCGCCGGCAGGCTTCTGCAACTTCGTAGCCTCCAGTTAACCCCCGCCGTCTAGGGAGGTATGCAGATGAGCGTCCGCTGATTCATTGTTGAATCCTCCAAACTCAGCGGCACGCACTTCGACAAGAACTTCCGGTCTGCATCCTCCCGAACTTCGAAGTCATCCTCAAGATTCCTCAAGCACAGATCGTCTGCAAAGCTGGGGAACAAACCTTTGGGGCCCTGCCAAAGAAGCCTTTCTGGAACCTGGCCTGGTTCGCAGGATCTTGGACGATAGTCACATGCACAACCCGCTTGCCAGAGAAACTCGGCTCACTCAAACGAAGCGCAGCATGTCAAAAGCGTGAAACTAAAGTGCTTGCATCTTATCAAGAGACTCCTGATGCCGGCATGGCACACGGCCTTTCCAAGCTCAACCTTCGCTTCCCCAGCGGAAGAAGCACACGTCAAGCCAGTCTGTACTTCTCTGATCGTCTGGCAGCCCAGGAGCACTGGCATGGGCACGCTGTCCCAAACCGATCAGTGTGAGGTGGCTGAGGACCTGGATATACGATCCGTTTGCTCTTTCGGGATCAAGATGGCTAGCTCGTCCTTTCTACTCGGCTACTTGTCTTTGAGGTGCGGACCATGCAGAGAGCCCATGGCTCTTTGAGACAGGTGAAGAGTGGTCGCTCAATGCAACCACGGCAGGTTGTCATGTCGGACAGCCGGTGAGCGATGCCAGGTACGCCTTTGCATTGACGATTTCGTATGCGTCCTTGCACAAGCACCGGGAAAAACCATGTGCATGTAGAAGGCTACAAACAGGCATTCCAGTCTGGGCACCTTCATGGAAGGGATCTGTTGACCGAACATAGCCTCAACAACTCTGTCGAGGCCAGCGCGAGGCATGCAACCGTCTGAATAGTCAAGCCGCAGTGTAAGTCTGTAGGCATCCCGATGTCCCTTTGTAGTTGACCTCCGATTGCCACGTGGGGATCACACCAGACACACCGAGATTTGGACCTCAAGCTCGTGCCAGCCCACACAAGTCCTGGCAGGTAAAGGCAACCCAGCAGCGTCCTTCGGTTATTTGAAAAGCTCAGCACAGCAGATCCGAACAGCCCTCTTTGCCGGTGCCTCAGGAACTCGCCAGGCCCATAGACTGCGCAGGTCCCGCCAGGAAGCTCTGCGTACACATAGGGACATAGGCATGGCCATGCGGCATGGCATTGGGCGACATCCTTGCAGGCATCGCTCGCTTCTCATGGCACCATCTGATGAATCTCACTCAGACTCATGCAATTATTGGAGTTTTCGGCAGGCTGTCCTGGGTTGACTTGATGCACGTGGACTTGCAGCCTCCTGATCAACGTAAAACACGATCAGCATCTCGGAGAACGTAGCTTTGCCTCCAGGCAGACCCACAAAACATGGTTCCTGCTCGTTAATCTGCCGACGCTCCGGTAGCAGCAAGCTGCGCCTGGCCTGACCATCGTGCAGCGATCCTCTTCCTCAATGCAGGGCTCCCCACATTTCGCCGGCACGAAGATATCACCCATGTGGCTCAAGCTGGTACAGGACAAGTCCGCTGCTCCATGCACCACAAGGCAAGACTATGCCAAGACATCCGGTGTAACATCAGCTGGAGCTCAAGGCTAAAGGCAAGCATGGCTCTCGTAGAGGAGGCGCTCGTAATTCGTGGTGCGAGTTCCGTTGCCAAGCCTGCGATCTGCACATGCCCCGTGCTGAGTCACCCGCAAACACCTGTGCAACCTACGGAGACAGCACCCGTCCCCATGCCTGCCCAGATGCTTGGCAAGGAATTCAGGCATGTGCTCGATCTCACTCCGAAAAGCTGCCGGGACCTCTGCGAAAGAAAGGTGGAGGATGTGGAGAACCCGGAACAAAGAACTGGCCGGGCCTCGCCAGCATAGAAGACGTGCATGCACCAGGGCTCCTCTCTCGAAGTGGCTCACAGCCCTCAGCTTCTTACGAGCCCTCTTTCCTTCACGCGGGCGTCTTTGCCTTCAAGTAGAACTCTCTGTGAGCAGGGGGCAAATGCGAGAAAAGAGGCCGCAGAATCCTGCCAAACGCAGCCAGGCCGCACTGCTCCAGACGTTCGGTGATGATATGAGTTGAATTGGAACGGGACTTCCCTTGCCAATTAGTTGCATGCAAGCCCACTGCCGGTCCCCTTACGTTCATGCGCTTTCAACAATGCCTCAATGAATGAAAGGCTGGGGTGCGCTGCTTTTGCCTACCACGACACATCTATCATTCCGCTGCGCCCCTGCTTCAAAACAGACCAGGCCCGATTCCTTACTTTCAGACAGCTCTGCGGCTTCTTGCATACATGGCTCTGCGGTGCTTGGCGCAAGCGTCCAAAACGACAGCTTCATGGGCTCGTAGACGCAAATCTTCTTTGCAGAACCTGGGCCAGACTACCCCCAGCTCGGCTACGAAGTGCAGAGTATGGTGCTGTCAAGAAACTGTGGTCAAAGACCCGGAGGAGGGGGGGGGCCAGTAGCCGCTTGTTTCCGGCCCGAGGCCCTCAGCCTTGCAGGCTTCTTGCAGCTCATGGCAATCCTCTTCGAATCGAACCTGTGCTTCAGCTCACTCCACGTTGACAAGCTGACAAGCGCAAGGGCCAACAGATGAAGAAACAGCAAGTGCGATGTGCAACACTGACGCATTGGAGATGTATGCTCGACATACACCAGGACCACATCCATGTGACCACGATACACCCCGATGCATCGTCTTCTCCTCAGCGTTTTGCGGACGGACATGCTGGATTCCTGGCTCGAAGCGCTCCGACGATCGCCCCGCTGCTCTGCTGCAGAAAGCAACGCTGACTCGCAGCGGGCATGGGAGCGTGCTGGGGACGGGACAAATGAAGGATGCCCTGCGACTCCTTGCTGCAGTTGCTGTCAGGCTGTTGAGCGCAGCGCCGATGACTTTCTCGGGAAAGTTCCCTCAGCAATCTGGACGATGCGCATGCCCTCGGTCAGCAACACGTCCAGGGCTATTGTGGCAGCTTAAAGCTGATTCTGAAGTCTCTACGGACTCTACGGCATGGAGGGATGATTTAGATTTCGGGGTCCTTGGATGGCTCACCTTGTGCCAGAAGCGGCTGGTCTGGTCCAGAGGCATGGACTTAAACCGTCAGGTCCTTCTGATTGAGAAAGCAGGTGTGTACCTGCCCAGACCACTTCTGCTGGTAAGTTTTCCGTGCATTGCCCTCGTAGTCTGCACGCACTCTGCACCTGGCCATCGTACGGATCGACATGGGTAACCCTTTCTGTCGAAGCAGCCAAACCATCCAAAGCTTTGCACTCCAGTCGTACGCGAAGAGCCTTGTGGCGTCGTTCGTGAACGCCTCTCCCTTTTCAGTGCCTTTGAGTCAGCAATCCGTGCCATCCGCAATCAAACTGGCAACAACGCGAACGCGAGGCCGGCCGCTGAGGTCGCTGCAACGATCGGTGGGACGTAAAAAATAATCGCAAGAGTCGCTATTGCTGCTGAAACCACCTTTCGACAGAAAGTTGACTCAACAGTCATCGCCCAATGATCCCCTGGTGATGTAGATCAGGCGAAGCCCACAATCGGACCAGAATCGCATGTACAGTAGGACATGCAAAGACACTGTCAAGGCATTTGCACGACCTCTGACGAGAGCGCGATCGTGCGGAGCTGCAATCCGAGAAAAAAAGAAGAGGCTGGGACCGGCTTGGAATCAGACCGGAATGAAACGAAGCTACGTTCTCAAACTCTCTGAAACCGTTGCCACAAAGGACCAGAGGAAGATGCAAAGCATCGACAGTAGGATGCCGGGTCGGAAGCCCTCAGTCTCGAACTTGTCTGCATCAAGGCCGAGGAAGTTGTTGATGTACTGCACCAAGACTGCCTGGCCAAGGGAACTGTCCCTTTTGGAACTGACTAGAGAGGCGGAGCTAGAGCTGAAGTCGGGCAGAAACGTGGCTTCGCCTGGCTGTTTGAAAGAATCACGCCCCGTCGTTGTTGCAGATTGTCTTTGCAAGGTCCATGTACGTCCAGTGACTGGAGTGGAGGAACAGCGCAGCACATGACTGGACTCCAGTCATGTGCTGCACTGTTCCTCCACTCCTGCGCTACAATCAGTTGAGCTTCATCAAAGGGATCCCCAAGGGAAAACGGCCTAAGCAGGATCGCATAGAAGGCGATCTGCATCCCTGCGCTGGCAATCAGCAGCAGCCAAGCAATCACCAAGTCAATCCAACCGACGTTCGTGTGCGAGATCATGCGAGCGCAGCGAATGTAGGATCTTGAACCTCCGTGTCTCCTTTCGCCCTTTGCGGCGGGCAATGTCCTGGCGCAGGCATTTGCGATTTGCGGCCGGTCCTCCAAATTCACCTGCATGAAGCTCGTCGCAATCGCTGCAGAGCCCTTGCCGCCCTTTTGCGCCAGCTCGACAGGCACCTTGCCACTAAGCTAACAAGCGCTTCCCAACATCCACGACCACGGCTCGTGGCAAGGGGTTTTGTGCTGGCGGAATATGGGTGGGAGGGTTGCTTTGTGCGCCGTCTTCAGCCTCCTCAAAGATGTACACGGAACAGGTACAAGTAGCAAGGAACCGCTGTCCTCTGAAAAGGCAAAGGGAAGACCTTCCTGCAACCAGCCACGGCCTCGGCACAACTCCAGCTTCCCATACAGCTCTGAGCTGAACTCCTGGCGCAGTCGCCACTCCAGGTTCGCCGATGAACTGTGAGGCAGCGCCTGCAAGGAAGACAAACGTTGCGACAAACCATACCAGGTTTATACAGAAGACCGTCACCCAGTCCTCCGGGTAGCCTTCAGGCATGAAGCCCGGATCCCTGCCTGCGACGGTGTCATACGGTGTCATGCCGACGACGAGGCCCACTGCGGAGATGGCCTGGCACTGTCGGATCCCAGGCTTTCGGGTGTAGTTCTACGACGGGAGCTGGAGTGCTCTCAAGCGGTGTCTGGGGTGGAACCGAGGTGCCTGCAAGGCACCAAGCCAGGATGCCGCCGGATGCTTCGGCGCATGCAGATCCACTCAGACGCTTCCGTACGCTGCGATCCCGGCAAGGCAGATCCCGGAGATAGCCCTTGGAAGCCGGCTTGCTTGTCTGCAGCTGCTCTCAAGCACACCTTCTATCCAAGGAGCCGCGAAACGACAAAACAAAAAAAAAAAAGGAAGCAGAATCACCAGACTAGTGCATCTTCGGGCCCATGACCAGGCAAAGACGCCGAGCATATTGCCGACCTGCAGATGCTGCAAGAAGGCCAGGCTACGCTTCAGAATCCAAGGGGCTGAAGGTGGATAGGCTGATAAGGCTTGTTGTGACAGGCACTGCATGACAGAGCAATCCAAGCACCCGTCGCATCCGAAATATCGGACCCTGCGTTGGGCTGAGGGCAGCACCAAGCAGATCAGGAGAAGCACTTCAGGAGGCAAAAAATCAACGGAGAGGCGATGGGTAGGAGCAGCTGCTGCTGAGATTGTCGGAGAGAACCACGCGTAAAAGGACCCTTGAAAGCTTCAGGAGCGCAGACTCGAGATCTCAGGTCCTGCTCTCCGTTCCTTGCAAAGACGCGTCCGGTCGGCAGGGCATCCCCAGGTCAGGAAAGCATATCTTCTTCCTATCCAATAGCTTCAACCCCACAGGTTGAGAAAAGTCACGCAGGTTGGATCATTCATCAGTATTCCCAACGGATGATGAGCGCCGCCATTGCGTCGAAAAGGATACCGAGTTAACAAACGACAGAACAGGCTGCTCAAGCCGGCAAGGCCGCAAAGCAAATGGTAAGACGCACATTGTAAACTGAACGCCGACGCAGCCACTTGTGCGTCTCAGACAGTCCCAGCCGCATCATACCTGACACCATCATCACACTAAGGTTCTTGTCCTGCCTGTTCACGCTACAGGCAAGCATCATCATCATCATCATCACCATCACCATCATCATCATCGTCATCATCATCACCATCATCACCATCTTCACCATCATCATCATCACCATCACCATCACCATCGTCATCGTCATCATCATCATCAAGATCATCAGCACCATCATCATCATCCTCATCATCATCATCATCATCATCATCATCACCCTCATCATCATCAGCATCAGCATCAGCATCAGCATCATCACCATCATCATCATCTTCATCATCATCATCTTCATCTTCATCATCCTTATCGTCATCATCATCACCTTGGAATCCGCGTCGCCATCGTGTTCCTATGGTCCTGGCACCATCATCGCCATCATCATTTTCAACCATTTGCTTCATCTTGCCGCTGCACCCCCTGCAGCGCCGACGGACACAGCGCGGGCCTTATAGCTAAAGCCTTCTGGGGAAACGCAAACTCAACTCAACCAAGTCACGGGGTGCCCAATCCCAGTGTACCGTGGTCACTTAGCCAATCCAAATCCTGGTCACTTGGCCCATGCGACTCCCGGAACGATTCCGGTCACTTAGCCGACCCAATCCGGGTCACTTGGCCAGCACTAGGCTTTAGGGTTTAGGGCTTCAGGGTTTAAGGTTTGGGTTTAAGGCTTTACGGGTTAGGGTTTAGACATTATAGGGGTTAGTTTTTTGGGTTTAGGGTTTCGGGTTTAGGCTGTAGGGGTTAGGATTCACAGGTGGGGTTTAGGCTTTAGGGGTTTGGGGTTTCAGGTTGGCTTTAAGGGTTAGGGCTTAGGCCTCTTTAGGGTTTAGGGTTTAGGAGGGTTTGGGCCTTAGGGGTTAGGGTTAAGGGTTTAGGGTTGAGGGTTTAGGGTTGAGGGTTTGGGTTTAATGCTTTACGGGTTAAGGTTTAGGGGTTAGGGTTTAGGGTTTAGAGCTTCGGGTTTCGACTCGCACACTCGCTCACGCCGGGACGGGTTGGAAGGTCTCCGCTATTGCTACACTAACATCTGTGCCAGCAGTACTCT